GAGTGCGAGCCTAACGGGACGGCGTTCAAGGGCATCTTCGCACGCGGCCTCGCGCGTCTCGACGCCGCCCTGGCCGACCGCCCGTACCGCGGCTACATCCAGCGGAACGCGCGGTCGGCGTACGACACCGCGCGGAACGGCTCCGACTTCTACGGGTTCCGGTGGCAGGGCCCCTTCGACACGGGCACTATAGGACGGCAGGCGTCCGCCGCGGACCTCCTCCTGTCCACGCTGTAGTCGGGCGGGGCCAGGGTTCCGCCGAAGACCGGAGGGGGCACCCCGGAGGGCGAGGTGGATGCCTCGAAGGGGGGAGGGGACGCCTCGGAGGGGGACGATGGCCCAGAGGGCGAAGACTCTAGTTCGGGGAGCGGACACGATAATTCGGGGAACGCGGCGATGAGGGTCGGAGCTCGGGTATACATATACATATACATATGGGTACGCGTATCACTTGCACTCCGCTAATCTTAGTATTAATGAAAACTAGGGGAGTCCGTAGGCTTTGACGAGCAGATGGACCTCTCATTATACATATTCTTAACCCGTACTCCGTGCAATTATTTAGTGAGCCCCCAACTCCCCATCTAATGCCAGTGCTCCCCGTCCTCTACCCCCTGATCCTCACGTCCACATTCGCCGCAGCTACGCATAAATTGCGCCGTAAATGTCGAGGGCTTCCCGTTCTATCTTGCGTGAACTCGCGTCGTTCTTCGTTGCTCGTGGTTGGTCTCTCGTCGACCCGATAAGGGATAGGGGCAGGCGGGGGCAGTCTAGGAAATGCCCCGGATCGGCAGCATAGAAAGGCCAAAGACGTCCCGTAGAGGCTGACTCCTGATTACTATTATTTTCTTTTTTTTTGTTTGATTAGGGAATGGTGTGGTGCAGAGCTCCTCCCGGGACGGTGTGGCGCCGATCTATAGGGTCTGCTTTGCGTCTAAATCATTGTATCTCTGTGCTCCAAAGAGCTTGTAGGCAGCGCAGTCGATCCAAGTGATCAATAACGTCCTACGAGAGCGGCTCGGTCACTGCTTTCTCCCCGCCCAGCACTGGTCACAGTTCGTCGTGTACCGTCTGTACTCTTGCGGATGTTGGCACCGGGGCTGATAGGGCTCGCCAAGCTGGGAGTTTCCCATCGGCTGCATTTCGTAGGCGACCTCGTGCTTGGGCTCGTCTTCGTCGGTCTCCTTTTTTGCCCGCCAGGGACGACGATCTATTGTCCTCTGATATTGGGCGATGATGAAGTTCACGATGGGGCGCGGGGTGAAGGATATGAGTATTGCCATGCTTGTATTGATTATCATCGCGGCCATTTCGATGGCCCCGAGACGGTGGATTGTAGCCGGAAATTGGACACGTGCGCCCCGGAGGTGCTTTTATCAATCAAGGCCGAGGGGGGTCAGAAGGTAGCAAAAGGGGCCTATGCATGTATATGCGAACTCTATAAGGAGCCGGCAAACAGAGAGGTGGCCGTCTCCGAGTAGTTCTATAACTTGGAGGGCTATCGGTCTTTTAAGTATACACGCCGACTAAATCAGAAGACGATTATGCCGTACTCTATACAATAAAATAAGATTGAGGAATTGGTAGGGTCACAGCATTCGCTGAATGTAATTTAATGTGAGTGAGGAGCCCGAATGGGCATGAACGTTCATCATCCGGTATTACAGTTTCGTTGAGTGCACGGGTCCTCTAAAGCCCGCGAGAACTCAAACCAATACTCCTCTCTGTACTGATACATTTATATCTGTAAAATCGCCCAACCCGGGAAACATATTCTGAGCGAGCGCTATAAAACGAGTCTCTCTTGCGATGCCCTCACGTCACCTTGGTTAGGGACACGTAGCATCTGTGGGGATTCTTGGTGATCGTATCATACGAATCCCGAGAGCTCAACTCGCCCGAAATCTGATGGAACTCAAAGTTCCACACTAGTAACGCCAGTACGATGCGCGTCTCGAGGTAGGCCAACCGCCGACCGAAGCAACCGCGCGGTCCTAAACTAAAGGCCATCATCGGTCCGCTCTGGGGGTCATATACCACTTTGCCGGTCTCATCCGTCTTCAGCCAGCGCTCGGGCTTGAAGAGGTGCATGTCGCTGGGGTCCCAGGCCCCCATTAATCTCTTCTCGCGCGACGACGGGCTCCGGGCGCTCTCTTGGACGGGGATGGGGGGAGTCATGAAGTCGGGGCCGTCCGAGACCAGGAATATCGCCGTTCCCTTGGGGACCCTGTGGCCCAGGAGCTCGGTGTCAACGATGGCCTCTCGCAGGGTCAACGGGATGGGCCCATCGTAGCGTAGAGCTTCCTCGAGAACGGCATCGAGATAGGGGACTGGCGTCTTCCATAGCTCAACGACGGTCGGTTGTCGCCCCTCGGCATACGCCGCCGAGTAGGCCGTGCGAAGGGCCGACCGCAAGTTGGCCTGGACCTCCTGATAGTCTGCCATGTCTTTTATCATCCCTATTCAGAAAGAAGTCAGTTTATTGCTCTCCCCCTAAAGCTGCGCTATGGACTCTCTGATCTCCGGTATTGACTTACACGATAACGCCGTCGAACTAGTATCGTGTCCAGCAACGATATACCCGAATAGCTAGCAAGCGGTTAGTGGCCAACAGCTTAATTTGATTGAGGCGAGGCCTACCTCATCGTGGATCCGCGGCGAATGGAAAACAGGCTGGCGTCCTGCTTTATCCGCCGCGTTCATTTCCCGCTGTAAGATGTGGTCCATGGCCGATCGCGTACCGCTCTCGCCCCTGCGAAGGCGCAAGACAGCCTTGTCGATTTCGCCACGGAGGAATTCGTCCTTTCGAGCAAAGTTTTTCAACAGCGCCCAGTCCGTGAGCATCTTGAAGCGGTGAACCAGCTTGGGAAACGGAACCTTGAACTGCTCTCCCAGGTAAACTCCGATAGCCTCGATGGCCGCGATGTTGGGCAAGGTAGGGAGCACCGGGAACGCAACACTCCCGTCCGCGTTGGTCGTGGGCTTGAAGGCCGGTTGGGCGCGGAAAAAGTCTAACTGGTTCTTCACAGTACTCTGGTCGTCTTCCAGACCGAAGGCGACGGCGTTGATGATATCTATTGCGGCGTCGAAGATATCCCTACGCGCGTTGAAAGGCCGGCCCTCTCCCAGGCGGGCCTTGACACTCCATAGCTCGACCAGAGCCATGGTCTTGTCATAGATCTGGGGCGCGGAGACCTGGAAGGATGATGAGTGCTACATGTTCTCCTGAAGCCTGGGGGGTCCTACCTCGTGTAAGAAGTTGGGCGTCATCAGATCCCGGACAAGCTCTCTGTTTCCTTTGAAACGGGGGTCTGACGAGGTCATGCCTATGTGGTGGTTCGGCACCACGCCAACGAAGGCATCTGTGAAGCCGCGATCGAACTCGCGAGTACGTCTCAGCAGGATATCTTGGGCCTCTCGGGCGTCGGAGAGGATAAGCGAAGGCTTTACGAACGGCCCCAGCCAGATCTGAGTGAGGGCGGAATGGTGCTTCTGGACATGCTGTGTGAAGAACGGCCGCGTCTCCCCTGTTGTGCGTAGCATGGAGACCATATCGGGGAGGTTTCCGAGGAGATTATTCTTTGCGCTCTCGTCATAAGGAATACCCGGGATGGGCTTCGGCAGGGCCCAGCGGTAGGCGAGATACAGCACCGCCAAAATGGCGACGGCGATGAAGGGGGCGCTGCCCATACTCAGACCAGCCGGGGTGTGAGGCGCCATCGTGGTCACAGCACCGGTATCAAGTGATCAGATGCAGAGAACAGCGAACAGCGAACAGCGAACAGCGGCGTCAATTGAACGTCGAGATAGATGCCAGACGTAGATGCCAGACGTTACGGGCCTGGTATTTGAAATGGGCAGGTGAACTTATCAACTTATACTTCTTTGGTCAACTACTCGGACCCACCATTACTCGTCCGGCCTAAGAACCGGCAATGCTCCCGAAGCAGGCGTGGAGCTGACGAGCACTATGGCGCCTACTATATAAGAGGCCACTTACAAAGAGAACATCTATTCTAGAGCAAGCCACTCGGCATCCACCCCGAGGGATATTCCTGTGCCTGTGTCATCCTTTGTGCTCTCGCACACTACCATTCGGTATACGTATTAGCCACGCCTCAAGCGTTGTGGAGCTGCGTACGTCCAGCAGTCGGACGGGTTCTTCCATGGGGGCCCGCGGACACCGAAGTGGACTTCGGGAGCGCGCAGTCATATGGCCTGCCCGCAAAAACACCGCGCAAAGGAGGCTGATGCTTCAGTTTCAGAGGTATACTGAGCGGGCAGGACACGTAGCCATCCCCGTCCATGTTTATCTGGATATGCACGCATCTCGTACTCGCATTCGACCTCATGGCTTTCGATAGTATACATAGTAGGCACCTATACGAAGCTCTTGGCGAGACGGCCGGGGTATATCGCCCAGGATTCGATCGCGCTGTGCTGTGGGGATGGATGACGAGACGGCGCAGAAAGTAGTGTCGATAGCCGGTCAAACTCAAGCGCCCGCGCTGAACAGGCAGCAGAAAAAGCCCCGGGCCGTAAGACATTCGCCAGCAGGCCGGGGTTTTCTATCTCTCCGGGCTGCCATGCGGTCCGACTGTCCACACGGCGAAGACTCAATTGCACCGCCTTCTTCTGTCTCATCGAGGGGCACATGAGCATGCTGTCCCAGTTTTGCGGTATTAAGTCGGGTAACAGATTCTCTGTAGTCTAATCCAGTGAAGCGATGATCAATCCGTAACCAACCGAGCAAGAGATCACATGTCTTGAAACAGAGCGTGCAAGGATTTCGCCGATAGCCACCCAAACTCGAAAGCCAATGCAGATGCTGGAATGGAAGTCGAGAAAGCAGCAAATCAGGCTAACGAGATTACTAATGTGGGACAAGAAGATAATTCTAAAAACGATACTAAGATTAAAAGAACCGTTTACATGGACTAACCCAAGTTTGTCCGTTACGATACGAGACCCACGAATTGGGCAAAAAGCGAAAAAGTTTACTCCGAATCGGGGAATCGAACCCCGGGCTTGACGGTACTTCATTCAGATTCTTGGAATCTTAATGAGAGCGTCAAATGTTAGCCACTACACCAATTCGGATTTGTTGAAGGCTCGACCCATTATAATTTCCCATAGTCGTCCGCGTGGTGGCGCCCCAAAATAAAAGGCTTGTTGCTTGGGTGACGTATTCATGATACTGGCGCAATGGAACAATTTAGCATCTCCCGATACTACAACTTATCACCGAGGCCGAAGCCGAACAGGGAAACCGGAATCTTAAAACCCCTAGGACGACACGATGGATTTGGTAGCGCGCATCGGCCGGCCCCAAGCCCTCACCACGTGGCTTATGAGCTGCAGTCATGATTCTCGGTGTAGATGAATCCGATAGCACTGCAAGTCGACCGTAATGTATCCGCGAAAATGATACTGTAACGACTTAGGTTGTAATACACATGACACCACAGGATACGACTACGAAGGATGCATCCCTTTGGACACAAATCCCCGCCAACAGCTCACCCCGGAGAGGACCTACGCGCCATTTCGACGGACGAGGTCGTAGCCAAGTCAATAAAGTTACCAGCGGTCCGGCGCCGTGTCGTCCACGGGTCTACACATGACGAAGTGTGCAGTCTACAAAACACCGGGGGTTGCCGTTGCCTAGATAGGTACCTACATATAATCCCTTCTCTTCCTCTCGGTAATACGGTAGTTATTCGAAGTAGAGCTCGTGAAATTTAGAAGATGTCACATTTTTCGTTCATCGTACTCGACACGTCCCAAATAAGCAGATCACAAAAAGCGATGAGTTTTGACGTGCACACCCAGAATCTGAATTTCATGCCTTCCTCCACCGAGCATAACGTAGTTGTATTGAGGGCAGGCAACCCAGTCTACGGACACTTAGGGACTAGGTAGAAATGTCCCCCAAGCGTTGCGCCTGGAAACCGGAGGCGCGAGCCCTCAAGGAAATATCCCCTATCCCAGCCCTCAGTAAATCACGCCAAATGTGAGATCCCCCCCCCTCTCCTCTTTGTCGATAATTCCTTCACAGGGCCTCAGGGATCGCGACACCCCTTGCACAGCCCGAAGCAGTTGCAGAGGGCACCGAAGCCCTTCCCCGCGACGCGCGCCGCGCTCTCGCCCACCGTCATCGTCGTCGTCGTCGTCGAGGTCTGGGCCGCGGGCGCCCCCGCCGCGGAGCTCCCGCTCGCCGTGGCGGTGGTGGTCGCCGTCGGCGGCGGTGTGTCCTTGGGGGGCACGGGGGGGCGGACCTCCATCGGCGGCGCGGCGGGCGGGGCCGACGTGATCACGGCCCCGTTGGGGATCGTGCCCGACGAGCCGCTGCCGGAAGACGAGGGCGGGGCCTGGCTGCTGTCCGTCCTCGGGCTTTAGCTAGCTGCCTGCGGGGTCTCAGAGAGGTAGGGGGGTGATGGTCAGGGGAGAAAAGGGGTGACAAATGTCTCGGAGACAAGTGTACTACGTACCTGGCCCCTTGAGCTGCGGCGGCGCCGGATGCGTTGGAACTCATGATGCGATGAGACGCGGCTTGTTTCTCGTGTAATGGCTTTTCTCGAGACGCGTAGGCAGGTAGATAGACAGATGGCCGTGTACAAAAGCAGTTTCTGGTACTTCCAAAAATAGGTGCGAGTGTTGGACGGGGAAAGGACACTCAGACTCGATGTGTCTATGGGAACTCGCAGCTTTATATCTGGGTGTACTCCACCGCTGGTCGCACTCGACTCTGAGACCCGGCCGGCGACACAGCCATGGTCACGAGGCAGCGAGGGTAACGCGGTTCCCTTATTCATGTGAAAAATCCCACAAGAGGCTCACCGCAGTGTTTGCCATGAGGAATGGGCGGCTTCGAGGTGTACAGGCGAGAACCGCGTCCCAGAGTAGCGGATAGGGGGCCAGTATAAGGAGTCATGGTTCTTGATTTTGTGTCATCTGACGGCCCGCGGTATCTGGTGTCCAGCCATATCTGTTCGCATATCGTAGCATGTGCGTCTTTCCAGTTGGTTATATGACCGGCTGCTGTATGCTAGTCTGTGATCCTAGAGACTGTTCGCCAAGTTCCAGAAATATATATGAAGCGCATGTGATAGCAGGTGTAAAGATGGGGTAAGATCGGATTATAGAAACATAAAATACTGTATGAGGACACCGCGGCAAAAAAGGCAGAGTACCACAACATGAGGTAGGCAGGGTGTCCTTGTGAGATCTGTAATACAAGCTGAAACGACGTTATCATATCAGAGGCTGTCTCATGGCCAGCCGGTAAGGTATAATGCACCTGAGAGCTCCCCATACAATAGACTTTAACTCGGCCCCGATGAGTGATATTCCCGTCGCCCCTGGGAGCCATAGACGGGCGAGAGACCGTAAGACATGATAAACACGTGGGCGGCACTCCGCAAAGGATGGCGGCAGGAGACAGACGGGGCGGAGACAAAGAAGGAGAAATGATTGCTCCGCTATACTGTGTTCGCGCTGCGGTGCACCTGGAGTTAATGAGGGCGATATAATCATATAGGCCGAGGCGAGACAACATGAAGTACTCGAAAAACTGAAACATGTTACACAAACATGTTCTCCCATGCCGGTCAAAATAAGCAGCGACTGAGCGAGAAGGGCAGAGGAATATAGTCTCAAAATAATAATAATGATAAAATGCAGCCGTATCAACACTTTACTTTGTATAATCCAGGTAACACTATAAACACGCTCCCGCCAATGCCTATTCCGCACACTATTCATTCATCATAGATCCCAATATCCCTCATTCTTGAGCCAGTCGTAAAAACACATGCCCTTCCTCATTCATTCAGTCATCAAGCTGTCTTTTGCAACGTTGCCTCCCCGCCGCCGCCGAGAAAACACTTCATCATCGCATAACGGTCTGCGTAACTCCGCCGCCGCCGAGACCGCCTGGCCTTGCTACCGCATTACGGGCAATGAAGTCACGGTTCTCGATCGTCACACTCTTGGTCATGTGGTTGACCTTGTACACGCCTACGAGGCGCGCGGCGAGTTCGAACATGTTATTTCGTAGGGAGATGACGATGAACTGGGCGTTCTTCGTCCGCTCCTTGATGTAGTTGGCCACGATTGACACCTATAAGTGATACGGTTAATTGTCGCTTTCACTACAGGGAGATAAGGGGTGGCTACTCACGTTCCGGAAGTCCAAGGCAGCGTCGATCTCGTCCATCACGTATAATGGAGTGGGCTTGTAGTGATGCAGAGCAAACACAAGCGCTAGACTTGATAACGTCTTCTCGCCACCACTCAGATTGCTGATGTTCTTCCAGCTCTTCTTGGGTGGCATGACTGAGAATAAGATGCCCTCGCTGAAGGGGTCCAGACTGTCGACGAGTTCTAGCTCGGCGTTACCGCCCATTGTAATCATTTGGTACATCTCCTTTAAACGAAGTGATATGGAGCTGAAGCCTTCCATGAAGCCCTCTAAACGAAGGCGACGGAGATCATCGCATCGCTTCTTGGCCGTATCGCGCTGCTGCACAGCGCTAGCTAGGTCGGACGAACGAGCGCTATGCTCTTCCACACGACGACGATATTCTGCAAGGACGCTGACATCAACATTGACATTCTGGGTCTTCTCTTCGAGAGCAGCAATCTCCGCCTTCAATGCTTCCTTGCTCATATCCTTTAGTTCATCTTGGGTGAAGTGTGGGAGTTCTTCGGGCTGCTCTTCGGGGGTTTGCTCTTGTGATTCATCTTCCTCTTCTGGTTCCTCGCCTTCTGTTTCGGTAGACTCCCGTGCCTCATTCTCCGTCGGCTTCTTTGTTGGCACCCCGCCCATCAGGTCGCTGATATTTTGCAAGACTAGCTTGCCTAGCTTCTCATTCCAATAGCGTAGGCGCTTCTGGTTTTCGACAAGAGCTTTCTGGTTATCCTCCAATTGGTTTTTCATCTCGATTTCGGCTGCGCGCGTCTCGTTGAGTTCAGACGTCTTTTCGTCTAGCTCCGCCTTCATAGAAGCGAGCTCTCGTCTTTTCTCTCCTAGTGCCTCCTCCGCAGCCTCAACCTGGGCGTTCAATGACTCCGATTTCGTCCCTTGGTTCTCGATCTCCTCTTTAAGTTGTTCAAGGTCCCTGGCAGCAGCTTCCAGTTCCTTAGTAGCTTTGGCATGGTCTTTCTGGAGCTTTGTCTTGGACTTCTCTGCCTTGACCTTCTTCACTTCTGCAGTGGAGATTTCCTCGTTATAGGCGGAGATTTCTTCCTTTAGAGAGTCGACAGTAGCTCTTTGGGCTCGGAGCTTCTCACCACCAACTTCCATAATCTTGTCTTGCAACTCCTTGATCTCAGTCTCCACGCCCTCAGTCTCGGCGTGTAGCTTGGCCACTTCCTTGTGTAATTTCGCGACTTCCTTCTCTAGAGCAGCTTTCCGCTTGTCGTCGGATTCCGAAGGCTGATGCTCTCTGCTGATCTCCTTGATTCTGCGCTGAGCATCTACCATGTTTTTCTCGGCGCTCTGCACTTCTAGTTCAAGTTTCTGCATTTTCGTGCCCAGCTGCGGGATTTGATCCTGTAGAGATCGAAGTCGAGTCTCATGTTGCCGTTGCTGCTCTAGGAAGTCTTGGAAGCGCTTCTCAAGGGTATCACGATCGCTTTCAAGTTTGACCACCTGCTCCTGAGTTGTATCCGCCACAAGCTTGCTTGACATTAGGCCTCGTTTCACAGTTTTGCCACCACCTGACATAGTACCACTCTTGTCAATCAGCTCGCCGTCAAGAGTGACAACTCGCCATCGCCTAGCGCCGTATGCGATTCGGTTGGCTTGTGCTAGATCCTTGGCAACCAATGTATCCTGGAGAGCGTGGTAGAAAGCAGGCCGAAACTTGTCTTCTTTGGCTCTGACCAGATCGAACAGCCGAGGGGCACCTTCAGGTGTTTGGATTGGCTGGATATCGCGTACACGCAACTTATCGAGACACATAAAGTTACCTCGGCCGAGGTTAGTCTTGCGTAGATACTCGATGCACTGCTGACCAGCTTCAACCGTGTCAGTCACAAAATTGTCGAGCGCACCACATGCCGTCGAAATGGCAACGTCATACTTTTCATCAATG